AAAGCTTTTTGAAGCTCCTGATCCAGCTCCTCTACTCGAGCATGCTACTGTAAGTGTTTTTTTTTCCTTTTGCGTTTATGTCTAATGAAACAAGGCGATTTTTATCCGCGATTTAGACGTCGACGGCAAGAGTTTCGGAGCTGGAGTCGGAGAACAGGAAAATGCGGCAAGAGCTGGAAGAGTTTAGGACTGAAGCTGCTCATTTAAAGAACCAACAAGCCACATTGCGCAGGCTAGAGGAAAGGAACAGGCAGCTTGAGCTACAAGTGAGTCACTAACGTTTATAACGGCTTCTTATTATCTTGTGGAATCATTTTCAGATGGAAGAAAAGGTAAAGGAGCTTGTGGAAATGAAACAGCGCAATCTGGCCGAGGAGAACCAGAAGATTCTTGAAGTTCTCAAGGAAAGGTATGGTATTGGCGACGTAGTTTCTAGTATCTGACTCTATATGCATCACTTGCAGAGAAAGCTCTCTTCAGGAACAGTTACGGGCTGCGCACGATAGCGTGCAAAGTATGCAGCGGTTGCACGAGTTTGGACAGAGCCAGTTGTTTGAGCTCCGAGCACAATCTGGTTCGTGAGTTTTTCTACCTTGCCTATGCTGAATCTCTTGGTGTTTGCAGAGGAAGAGCGTGCAGCAAAACAAGCGGAACTTACTCTCTTAAGTGACGAGGTTGAAAGAGCTCAAAGCCGCTTATTAAGTCTTGAGCGAGAGAAGGTATGCCCACAGCGTTTATAACCCCGCCTACAGTTAACTTAATACTTATTAGGATCATTTACGTTCTCAATTGCAAGCTGCTGGTAGCCAAGAAGAGGAACTCAAAACAAGGTGCTAGCCCTCTAGTCGATGCAAGCTTCATCTGTTTTATGATATGCTTATTTGAGCAGGCAAGACATGGACACGAGTAACACGTTGGAAGCTTCTTTGGACGCAAAGGAAAAGATCATCTCCGAGCTGCATGCGGAACTTCGTAATTTGGAATCTGCACTTTCAAATCAGAAGAATGAACACATTGCAGAGATCAGAAAGCTAAATGCCTACATTCATGATAAGGTACCTGTTAAACTATGTCGTCATGGTTTATTTACGTGTGTTGCACTGGCAGGAAAACACGCTGCAAAATTTGCAAAAGGAACTTGCAGAGAGACCTACATCTAAACAGTTGGATGATCTTAGGAAGCAAGTGAAAATACTTCAGGTATTTGTTTAGTCTTCTGCACGTGAAACTTAAATGAGTCACATTTGTTAGGCGGTTGGATACAATTTAATCGAAACGGAAGACTGGGATGCTGCAGCGCAAGGACAAGAGATAAGTAAACTTGAAAGCTTACTATTGGACAAAAACCGGAAGCTGGAGCATGAACTTACACAAATCAAGGCATGTTCTCTGGATTGCAACTTGTTGACTTTTCCTTCTGACGATGTTTAACTAGGTACAACTTTCTGAAAGGAAAACTGCACAAGATACCGCTGAAGGAAAAAGCAAAGAGTTAGAGGCGGAGGTTGAACGGCAACGAAGGCTTATTTCAAAACTTGAAGAAGACATATTAAAGGTCTGACGTGCAAAGCATAAGCTCCTGATATTTTCTTTTTCTTTCAGGGTTACAATTCCACTGACAGAAGGGCGAACAAGATAGATGACTGGGACTTATCAGACTCAGGAATTACCGATCTTATTGAGGTAATGAGCTTTTAGTCCTCTGCCGCTGTCGCTTTTATTCATTTGTATACGGACAGCATGGGCACAACAGTCAAGCAGCGGGAAACCAGTTTCAAGAACCAAACTCCATGCTGGAAGTAATCTGTAGCCAGCGTGATCGTTTCCGCCAAAGGCTAAGAGAATCAGAAGAGGTAGTTGTAATAGTATCATCTTAGTGTCCTTTACCATTTCTTTGCAGGAGCTAAGACAAACAAGGGATAAAAACGCTGTCCTTTTAACAGAATTAAACAAGTGCAAGGCGGACAACTTAAAGCTGTATGAGAAAATACGTTATATTCAAGACTATACGAAGGAACGTCCTCTTTCTAGAGGAACCAAGAAGGTTTTCCATAATTTTTTACTCTTTTTTTGTCTAATGTTTACACGTAATTCAGAAAATCGATGATCTGGAAGGTGGCATGGTCTCAGATATTGAATCGAAGTACAAGAAAATTTACGAAGATGACATAAACCCTTTCGCTGCGTTTTCAAGAAAGGTAGCTATTCCATACTTAACATCTATTGTTGCTGATGTCTTGATTTGGAAAGGAAAAAGAACGGAAGTACAAAGACCTGGGGATTAGAGACAAAATTACGCTTTTAAGCGGACGCTTCTTGCTCGGAAATAAGTAAGTCATCTGCGCTGAAACATTTTTCATTCATCCCCTTCTTCAGATACGCCCGGACGTTTGTTTTCTTCTATTCTATCGGACTGCACTTGCTTGTTTTTGCAAGTCTATACAAGTTTTCATCAGTCAGCTATCACAAGTAAGCGGTTCAAAATGTATATCTAATCTAACTGTCATTCTCTGGTTTGTAGTGTTACCAAAGATGCAAGCTTTAGAACCGAAATGTTAAAGAACGCATCCCAATTGTCCTCCCCAGATAACCCCCTACAGTAGTAGACTTCTCGGTTTGTAAATAACGGGTAAGTGTTTGCAGTCTTAAAAGTCAACTTACTAATACTTGCCTTTCAATCTACAACTCAGTTCTTCCAAATCTTGACGATGTTCTCCTGCTTCGATAGCAAGCCAAAGGTGCCTCAAAGCTAAGTGTCTGAATTAGTTCGACATACTTATGTTTTTTTTTTCCTTTTTGTTCAGCATATTAAGTACTGCCGTATGCTATACTCTAGAGAGCTCATTTGTTTCAGAAGAGGCCGCAATGAGCTCCGAATCTCCGAAGTCGGTCGATGGTGTCAAGAGCCGCATTGCTCCATATGGCCTGTGGTTGCTGATTGCGCTTGTGGCTACGAATCTCTTGACGCTCTACACTTTTGCTATTCATCCGGCAAGCGGATCTGAGCTGTTCTACTCGGGAAGCAGAGATACTAGTCATTCAGTCGCGAAGCTCAACGAGGCACTGGACAATCTCGAGGTAACCCAGAGAGAACTTCTTCGAGTGAAGCAGGAGTTAAGTGAGTCCTTATCTCTCCTGGACGCACTGTCCAGAGGCAAAGCAGCAGGGGACAGGCCTAGAGATGGAGATGACTGCCAGTGCTTTATATCCAAAAAAGACGACTTTCCACGAGCAGATGAGTTTCAGAAGCTGGTCACTCCACAGATGCTCCCTCTGGGATTTAGCTCGCAGCTCAAGACCGACGCTCTTACGTCTCCAGTCGGGCACGCCTGCCTGATGCACAAGGAAGATCTGGAAGAGTACATGCAGTACAAAGCTGGGGAGCTTTGCCCCGACGACGAATCTCTCACTCAGAAGCTGCTAACAGGTGGCTGTGAGCCTCTTCCTCGAAGGAGATGCTTCGCTAGATTGCCTGCCGGCTATAAGGAGCCCTTCCCTGTGCCAAAGTCGTTTTGGACTTCTCCACCCGACGAGAACATCATCTGGACCGCCTACACTTGCAAGAGCTTCGAGTGCCTCAATGCCAGGAAGAAAAAGCGTATTTTCGCCGACTGCCTCGACTGCTTCGATCTTGAAGGCAGGGAATCCGAGCGCTGGGCTGGAAGTGCTACTGCTGGTGGTGGCCTGGATCTCTCGATCGAAGAGGTGCTATCGTTCAAGCCCGGGGGCTCCATCCGGATCGGTCTGGACATTGGCGGGGGCAGCGGCACGTTTGCAGTGAGGATGCGAGAGCACAACGTGACCATCGTCACCACGACGCTCAACTTCGACGGGCCTTTCAACAGCTTCATCTCTCTTCGAGGCGTGATCCCGCTCTACCTCACGGTCTCGCAGCGCTTCCCCTTCTTCGACAACACTCTAGACATCGTCCACTCGATGCACGTCCTCAGCAACTGGATCCCGCTGGGGATGCTCGACTTCATACTGTTCGACATCGATCGGATCCTCAGGCCCGGGGGGATCCTCTGGCTGGATCACTTCTTTTGCATCGAGAACCAGCTCAACGAGGTTTACATCCCCATGATCGAGAGGCTGGGCTACAAGAAGCTGCGGTGGACCGTGGGGAAGAAGCTGGATCGTGGGCCGGAGCTCATGGAGAGATATCTTACTGCCGTGTTGGAGAAGCCATTTACCAGGTAGAAAAAAAATGCTAGATGCTATCTGTCACCGAGTGTGCACGATGTGATTTGAAAGCCAGACAGTTTTGAAACGTCCAGACAAGCTTTTCGTTAAAGTCAAGAGGTCTCCAACTTCAGTATTGTCAGGACAATTGGATTAAAAACTTCTGTGATATATGAGAATTTACTAAGAAAATTATTATGAATTAAAAGTTTTAAATCTTTAAAATATTAGAAAATTTTAAAGCAAAAGAGAGTGTAAGCATCAAGAATTCCTTTTGTTACTTAATCCTTATATCACTTTGCTGATGTGATTGGCAGACCATACGGTGACTTCATTTAGACAGCGTGATAGCCAAGTATATATGCAATGCCAATCGTTGATAAATGATGTAGCTATAAGAACATCCTTGGAGAAACCAAGAACGATAAATTTACCGTAGCCTTTGCGGCCTAATTTTTCTTGCACCTTCAATGCATGACACACAAATGGTCTCATGAACAAAAGCAATCCCGGAAAGGAAGTGAGACAGTAGAAAAGAACGCATCTCTTTCAGAACAGACGTGAGAAATATCACAGCAGAGAATTGCAGAAGCTCCAGTATGTCTCAGAATTGGATAACAGCATCAGCATTTGGAAGCTAGAGCAGAAATCCAAGGAATTAATTCAAACAATGTAGATAAAAGAAGATTAAGGAGCTCGCTCCAGTATTACCAGGTAATGCAATGCATCAGGAGGTAAACGAGGCAATTACGAAGCACATGAGGAACATAGAGGACTGCCGCAGGGAATATCATCTTGCAAATAAATTTCCTCCACCACAATCAAGATCACCTTGGATTGCCTCTTGAACTTGCAAAGAATCTGCCTGAGCACCAAGGCATTTAGGATGATAATAAATCGTGGTGGCACACAACAGCCCACTGACGTGGTTTCTCCAAATTTAACTATATGGAACACCCCAGTGATATAAATAGGACTTCCAATATGAAAAAACTATATAAATTACATTATCTAGTTTGGCATATAGTTTTATCGTATGAGGTTTGAAATAATTTTTTAATGATTTTTATAATAGTGCTTTATCTGGATTTAGATATATATTTTTTATATAGTTTATGTATTAGTGTGACAAATACTTTTTAGTATAGTGTCTTACTTTGTTTTTTCATCAAATGCTATATGATTTTTCAAATGATAAAATATCTAGGATTTTATTTAGTTTTTGAAAAATAAATACATATGTGTTTAAGATATAGTTAGTTATATAGTCAATTATTAAATTCACTATGTCGTTTAGAAAAATAATTTTCTTTAATTTTACATATATTTATGATTTGATTTAGCTATATAGTTTTTACATGTTTCCATATATCTCATAAAATATTTCAATGTTTTGAATAATTAACATACTCTCATTTCAGGTTTTTATCACCTATATTCCTATCACCAAATGCCCAACATTTAAAGCATGTCTAGCAAGATACTTTAAATTTTCTTATATTTTGGTTTTTATTTCGCAAGGTAGTTGGTAGAACTTGTCTTTCATCTTGTAAAACTATTTAATATTGTGAAGGGTAACTTCCTTTTCAATGAGTAGCTTGAGGATTCCTTTTAAAATATTTATGTCTAAATTTTTAAATTTGGCCTCACACAAGAACCAAATTAATCATACATATTACTAGCTTAAATGAAAATTAAAATACCTATTTCATCTTTTATAAAGTGTTTAGGCTTGTTTATAGAGGCTTCAAAGTTACCATTCTTTGTTTGCATTCTTCTACAATAAAAATTAGCTTAGAACATATTTAAATATGTTAGAAAGTCTTTATTCACCTCATCTTATACTACAAGGTAGGTTGTTGAGGCTTTTGAATGACACTAGCCTTAGTATTAACATCACTTTCTAGAGCTTTGAATTTATAGAGAAACTATATAGTAAAATATTTAAAACCATACAATAATCTATCTCTAGAAGGGCTTTCAACAATGGGGAGAACATTCTCTCATGCTTTGAAATTTAGCTCAAAACATGAACTTTTTGCCCTAGAATATGGGGAAGAAGGGGAATATACCCCTGCGCTCATGCCCCTTAAAAGTGGAATATTCCAGGGAATCTCACTTAAAGCTCTAAGCCATCTCCTAACAGGTGACCATAAGGAAAAGTCTGGAGTTCTAGATCAAGGGGAAATCACATGGGAAAACTTAACAAAAGAACTAGACACTAAAACAAAAGGAGACAAAAGTGGAGAAAAGAAAAATGAAAATAAAATAAATAAAAGAAAAAAAAACAAAGGAAAAAAATAAACGAGAAGGTGGAAACATAAAATTAAGTCGAAAAACCACTTACCTAGACTCTAACTTAAAGCCTCTTCACCTCTAAAAAGTGCCTCAAACATAGCTCAATTACTCTCAAAGTTCCAAGGGAATGAAGTAATGTAAGTGAATGTGTTACCTGAGAATAGTCACTTCAAGAATGATGGAAGACAACAGTCTAGCAGATGAATGGTAGAATATAGTGATGGCTAATTTTAATGGAGTGATTATGGAGGGGATCTGGTAGCTTGTGAATATAGTCAAAATGGTTAGCAGTATGTGTGCTTGTCGTAGAAGAAGGAAATGCTCACAGTCTTTGAGGGCATCTACTACTAGAGGAATGTGGGATTGGGTCATGCCTAGTCTCTTGTGTGCATCAAGTCCAAATGGCTCTCAAAAATTAATTGCTAAGTGTCTTGGATTTGCCCGTACTTGTGCATTGAGATAATTTTTGTTATATCTTGAGTTTGGCACTTTAGATTTTGCTGCTCCTGGTGTGTCTACTAGGGATCTCTAAAATCATGTATGCATGGTGAGAAAAGTGAAGAAATGTGGATTAGGCAATTGTAGTGAGTGGTAAATAGTGGTGTAGCAAGTAGAGGAATGAATATATTGTGACTGTGAGTGATAAAGAGTGATGTTGATGATAGATGGAGTAAAATCATATGAAAAAAACTTAGGAACCGTGAGTAGCAAACCATGAAATGGATAAGCTCTCAAACAAGAAGAGTTGATGCAGCTTCAAGGTGAAAGCTCAGGCTCATGTTTGCTCCACCTATAGGATCATGTCCTAGAAGAGAGAAGAAAAGAGGTGAAAGAAAAGAAAAAGAAAGAAAAAACAAGGGATAAAAAGAATAATAGAAAAGAAGTTATTGCAAAGATGTGTCCATGAAGCTTCAAACTGTTGTACATAGTATGGAAGGAAGTGTCTCTAAAGTAGTGAACTCAATCCAAAGCACTCATAAGAATCTGGTAGGTAAATGAAGTGTTGGTGGCCATAAAGATGCCATGATCACTGTGGGTGATGCCACCACTAGTATCTTGTGGCTGAAGAGGTCCAATGTGACATCCCAAGGCTGGAAAAGCTTTGGAAAAGAGCTGGGTTGGTGGTGGAGAAAAGGTGCTACTCTCACCACTTTTGGTTGATAAATAATTTGCAAGTTTTTGGCCTGTATGCACCTCATCCATTTATTGTATTAGAGTGTTGTGGACCATGATGGAGGGTTAGAGAAGGTGTAAAGAAAAAGTCATAGCTGAAAATAGCCTCTAAGTCATTACAAATGTGTTCTCATCATTGCTTATAAGGTCACATAGTAAAGTATATGTGCTTTGGAGACTTTTCTGTAAAGGCACAATTAGTACAACATCACAAAATGTTGGGTCAATCTCAAGTGAAGTGGCCTCATCTAGTGGCCAAGGCTGCATCTCTACCTCATTTGGATGGGCTTTGTTCTCCACAAGCTTAGAAGCTATTGTTTTTACTTGAAAACTCATGTGAAGTTTGCTCTTGTTGATAGAGTTGTGTGGAATCTCTGAGCCAAGAAAAATTGGATTTAACACTTCTAGTTGTGTGAGAAAGTATTGTAAAGTGTCCTCTTGTGTCCTTGTAATAGGATCTGTCTCAAGAAAGTCATTCTCCACAAAAATTGTGTTCTCCTCCAAGTTAGGCATTTATGGAATCTCAAGAATCTTGTTTGAATCTTTTGCCTCCTTGATCTTGAGTGAGTATGGTGATGTGGAGTAGATGGAGGAGAAGGCAAGGGACAAGGTTGTCCAGTCTGTATGCAAAAAATTGATCATATTGCATCATAAAGACTAAAATTCCATTATTATGTTGGCAATTGACAAAGAAGCAATATATTGTTGTGGAGAGGAACTTGATGGCACTATTTTTTATTTTAACATTGCTACTGAGAGTTTATGTGTTTCTTTAAGGGTATAAACTTTTTTATTGATTTTCTTGTCTCAAGTGGTGAGTTGTGTGTTCAGGAGGTTAAACCATGTAAATTTTTTATTTATCTTGTGGTGTTTGAAGTATTTTATACTAGGAGGTCGTTTTCCAAGCTTTAAATACTTTTTTTTTAATTTTCCCATTTTTGCCTTGATAAAAATTCCTCTTCCAATGCTTTTTTTATCCACTTTTTCTTCTTCTACAATATTTTCTCCTCATATTTCTCACTTTCTCCTTTTTTCTGATGCTTCAAACTTTTTTTTCTTCTTTAGAGGGGGTAAAAGGGATAGATAGGAGTCCAACTCCAAAGATAAAGTGAGGACAAATAGATATAGTAGTGAAGCAAAGATGAATAATATAAATTGTGGAGTGAGGACTAACATAGCAAGTTTAAACAGAATATTTAACCCTAACATAATGAGGCTGAATAAATGTAGTAGTGGAGTGAGACCTAACATAAATGACAAAGTCCTAATGGAACTGGTGCATTAAAACTTTTCTTCCTTCAAGGAAGGGAATATAGGATATAGAGGACAAATAGAGTGATTTTGACTTCCTATATATAGTGTTAGATGAGGATGAAGGTTAGGAGGGTCAGTTAATATGGGTCTTGGATGTTGACCAAAGAGAAGTGTCAACTTTTGAATTTGAACTACCCAAGAAATCATTACTCAAATTTAAGGACATTTAACCTAAGTATCCCAAAACCCTTAACGCATTGGAAGGTACATTTATATTTATGGGCACTTTCCTTTTATATTTAAACCTTTATAGATTGTCTTTCGAGTTATTTTCTTTAATTGTTTACAATCCACTACACTTTTCTACAATTTCATGCCCTTGTAAAC